GGGGCCCCCCAGCAGCCTAGGCCTATAGCAGCATAACTAAGGGAAGGCTCAGGGTCACCTGATCCAGCCCTAACTATAAGCTTTATCAAAAAGGAACGTCTTAAGTCTAATCTTAAAGGTAGAGAGGGTGTCCGCCTCCTGAACTGAGACTGGGAGTTGGTTCCATAGGAGAGGAGCTTGATAGCTAAAGGCTCTGCCTCCCATTCTGCTTCTGTGGATTCTAGGAACCACAAGTAAACCTGCACTGTGAGAGCGAAGTTCGCTGTTAGGATGATAAGGCTCTATGAGGTCTGAATATGAAGCCATTTATAATTATTAACAAATTATTAACAATAAAATTACCAAACAGGAGCAAACACATGCTTTGGCTGAAAAACAGGAGAATGTAATGACAGCATGTTACTGTAATTGTGTTGTGTAACTGCTGGTGTCAGCCGTCATGATGAGTTGTGTCTGTGGAAGTTAGTGCTAATGTAGATGATCATTAGGCTGCTCTGTAGGGTGGTTTTCCCTAGGCGTCAGTAGATTACATCACCATCCTTCCCTGTGGTTTCCACATGTTGATGTCTATTTGGCTATAATTCGCTGTGACAGCCTGACAGAGGGATGAGAGCCTTGAAGGAGAGATGACAGAAGCAGGATGAGTGCAGACAAAGAAGAGATGACAGGATGGGGGATTGGCGGGGTGAAAAGCAGGAAAGCAGGAGGTGGAGGGGCAGCGAGATGCGGCAATGATAGATGGACAGTCAGTCCTGCTTTGAGGAGTAAAAAGTGTGTGCACACATGCTTTGTGTTTTGTGAGGCATAATGTGTACATAACTGCCCTTGGCCATACTGAGTATATATATAGTATCAGTGAGAAAAATTATCAAAACTTAACAAAAGGCAAGGCAAGTTAATGTATCAGAATCAGAATCAGCTTTATTGGCCAGGTGTGTCAGACACAAGGAATTTGACTCTGGTACATTGGCTCTCATTGTACATGTACATATCCCCATGCAAGGGGCAAGTAAACAGTAAACTAACATAAGGCTGTGTAATATAACAAAATAAACAGTATTAACAAGCAACAAACAATGCAAAACAGTATAAACAGGCATTAAAAAATGCAAAAATAGAGAGCTGTACAGATCCATGTAATCTGTACAATGTATACACACACACACACACACACACACACGGTTATTGCACTGAGGGTTATTGTCCAGTCATACTCTCTTTGGTTAACTGTTAATTGGAGTGATGGCCTGGGGGAAAAAATTGTCCTTGTGCCTGGTTGTCTTAGTGCACAGTGACCTCTAACGCCGTCCAGAGGGGAGGAGAGAACAGATTATGTCCGGGGTGTCGGGGTCTGCAGTGATCCTCTCCGCCCTCCTTCTGACCCATGAGGTGTACAGGTCCTCCATGGAGGGCAGGCTCACACTAATGACCTTTTCTGCAGTCCTGACACAGACACACCCTCACCATTCACTCTTCTCTCTCTCTCTGTCTGCATATACACACACACATACACTTCCTCACACAAGTAGCAGTTGTAGTTGTGCAGATTGTGCAATATGAAAGACAGTGGCCAGGATTGTTTCTTATTACAGTTTTATCTTGTCAGCTCTGTGCTGGAACAACACAGTCATCTCTCTATCAGCACCTTCACACACTTGTAGTGATACAGTGGAATACACACAGTCTTGTAAACACACCAGTTTCCTTGCTTACATACATTCTGTGTTCCTCAGAAATGCACACACACATAGAGACAGTGGCCTTGTTGTCCTGTTGAGGTCAACTGTTGTCACAGTGCTGTTGAACAGAGTCACTCTGTCAGTGGCTCTGAACGGTGCTGTCACCCTCTGTTTCACCAAGATGAATATCAATCAATCATGTATAGCACCAAATCACAACAAAAGTCATCTCAGGACACTTTACAAACTAAGGTCTAGACCTTACTGTTATCACTATTATTATAGAGGGAAAACCCAACAAATCCCCCTTGAGCAAGCACTTGGCGACAGTGGGGAGGAAAAACTCCCTTTAACAGAAGAAACCTCCGACAGACCCCGGCTCTTGGTGGGCGGCCTTCTGCCTTGACCGGTTGGGGTGAGTGGATAGAGGAGAGACAAAAGAAGAAAAGCAACAAGACACAACAATCAAACACTGATCAGGTCGATGTGGCTGGTGACTGCTCGTCAGAGACATAGAGCTCCAGGGCCAGGGCAACCTGCAGAAAGGTACAGGGAGAGAGAGAGGACACACTACGGGAGAGAGGAGACACAAAGTTAGTGATGTGTAATGGTGGCATATAGAAGCATAGGGAGAGAG